GACTGCCCAGGAATGCCAAGGTCACGCCCAGGTCGTGCGGGAGAGCTTGCTGTGAAGTTGGTGTTCATGCTGGAATGAAATGTGAATCGGTGGAAAGAGCCACAAGCGGGGTGAGGAAGGATGCTCAGCAGGAGAGGGAGGGGCTGCCCGAGAGGAGAGGAGGCTGGACAGGAGGGAAGGCTTATTTGGGGAAACCACAGTCACCTGGCATTTCCAGCCCCAGCTCAGGCCAGCCCAGGGCGGACTGAGGTTCCCCCGCCTCTGCCCTCCCCCTAGTCTAGCCCATGAGACACTACAGATGGAGAAAACTATACTCTGCGGCTGTTTGGTTGGGTAGGAGTTTTCCTGCTAATCGAGAAGGAACCATACCCCTCCGTCACGAAGCGAGGAGCAGAGGTGGACAGGGATTAGGATCCGTTTCTGGCTGAGTCTCTGCAGAGCATCACATGGATTCTGCCCATAACCATCCAGTGTCCAGACTCCATGCCTCACAAAACCCACAACTGTTGCTAATAATTTCTAAGTTGTGAGAAATGTTAAAAAAAAATAGAGTTGCAGAAGAATCTATTCGTGCCACCCACGGGTTGTCACGGGTATTATTTTGCTGAGAACTAGCAACTGCTGGGAGCTGAGTCACCCGCTGACCCTAAGACAGTTCTAAGCAATTAGCTCTGACCAACCGGAAGTTCGAGGAACCCATAGGTTACTTCCAACGCTAGCCTCATGGCCGATGTTAAGTGGCTGTCTGCTACGGGCAAGAGGCGTCTGTATGTTGGAGCATGTCATCCTGTCTGTGTAGACCTGTCTGCTTCTCAGGGAAGGCACAGAAAGGAGAGAGAGAGCGGAACTCAGTTTAACCCACAGTGAGAGGCTGTGGTGAGAGCTGGAAGTCCTCTGAGCCTTGGGCACTCCTTATTTTTTTTTTTAATAAACAATCATTTCTTTCTTTTTTTTTTGCAGAGGAAGATTTGCCCTACACTAACATCTGTGCCAATCTTCCTTCGTTTTTTCTTCCCCTCCAGAAGCCCCAGTAGATAGTTGTGTATAGTAGTAAGTTCTTCTGGTCCTTCTATGTGAGCCACCACCACAGCATGGCTACTGACAGTTGAGTGCTTGATTCCACACCGGGGAACTGAACCTGGGTCACCGAAGCAGAGCACATGGGACTTTAACTGCTAAGCCATCAGGGATGGCTCTCCTATTGTTATTTTTAAGTAAGCTTCCCTGGTTTATAATTAACAACACTTGTGGCTTCCTTCCAAGTTAAGGCCACTCCTACCCCTGCCCCGACCGGGACGCACAGGGGTTTCCTTGCAGCCAAGCTAATGGTTGGCCAGGTACAATCACTAGATACCCTGAAAGGTGTGAAGACAAATGTTTCCACTTAGGGGGAAAAGGCATCTCCTTTAGCAGCCGATTATGACAGTCTCCGAATTAAAGGTCTACGATGAGCGGTTTTTATCTGGCCTCCGAGAAAACGTATGGAGGAGAGGCATCCAGATCCTCTTTTGGGATGTGTGGGGCAGGCCTGGCACAGCCCAGGTATTGTAATGGCAGGAGGTGCTGGTGGAGCCCCCACACGGGAACTCCTTCAAGTGTGGGCACCAGTGACCCTAACTACTGTTATTTATTAAGTGCCTGCTGTGTTCCGGACGGTTGTGGTACGTACTTTACATCCACCTTCTAATCCTCAAAATGACCCTAGGAATTGTTTCTCTCCTTACACGGATGGGGACGCCACAACCCCAAGAAGTTAAACAAGCTGTGAACACCCCATGGCTCATCAGTTTAGAGCTGGGATTGGCACATACGTTTGGGGACCCGCAGCCCGGGCCTGTGTGCACACGCAGTGCCACCTCCCTCTCCCCTGTTAAGTGATTGGTCCGCACGGTCCAGTCATTCTTCAGCACATCCTGGACCATTTGCCTCGGGGTTGATGCCATGATTTGAACAGTCCTTTATCCTCCAGGCCAAGTGAGGGAAGTTGCTGCTGATAGCAAACTTGCATTTATTTACAGGGCCTCTTCCGACCTCGCATGATGTTTTCTGGGCCTTGCAAACGTTCTGGTGATTTTCTAATCCTACAGGGACCCTGGGGACTTGTTGGGAGGGCCTGCTAGAAGGAGAGCCCCCTGCTCTCTATGACCTTGGCCACGGAAAGGGCCTCCTCTCCCAGGGAAGGTCCGGCCTCCTGTGAGCTCTGGGGCAGCACCCACGGGAGGTACAGAGGAGAGGGACACCCCCCCACATACACACACTCATCCCCAAGCCACATGAGCTGGCAGCCCTGGAGGCCACTGGGGTGGCAGATGTCACTGTTCGGCTGGCCATACAGCAGACAATTGTCCCCACTCTGCATCCACCTTCACTCTGCTCCTGAGAGCCTGGTGGCTCCCTTTCCTGGGCAGGCGGGTGCTGGAGCACCAGACACTCTCCCTTCCCTCTGTTCTTCCGAGAGAAAGGAGCCTCTGGGGAGGTAGGAAGCAACATCACCTCCCTGGTGAGGCCAGGACCAGCTGAATGTTGCCAGTGCCTTTTTCTCTCTCTCTCCTCCTCGCCAGCCTTCCTCCCTTCCCTCTCTTCTCCTGCCACCTTGCTCACCTACTGGAAATGCTCACAGAACACCCCGGAAGTAGCAGATTTGACCAGAGCCCCAGTTGGTGGAACTGGAAATGCATCAGGTGCTAGGACACCATGGCCCTGGGCGGCTCTGTGGAGGGCGTCTGCCAGGATGGGAGATGCCCTGGGGTGGCAGTAAGTGCCTCGGCCTTAAAAGAGCTCCAGTCCTGACTCTGCCAGTGTTCCCTGCCAGGGGACCCGAACGCAGTCACCTGACAGCCACCCTTCCTGGAGCACACACTGGGCCTGTGGGCCTCAGACCCCTTCCTGGAACTTCCCCTGTGCTGCCCACTGCAGGCCACATTCCCCACGTCCCCTGGCTGGCTGACTCTCCACTGGCTTCGTCCAGAGGGAGCCTGAAGGTGGACAGGTGGAGAAACTGGGGCATTTCGCCCTGAGCCTCTCTGCTCTGGGGCGTCTCCAGCAGTGTCTGAGTTTCCTTGGGCTCCAGCCTCCACAACAGTCAGCTGTGTGGTTCCAGCTTCTGCTGGGATCCCAGCAACTGGGACTCCTCCATCCTGCTTGTCCAAGGGTGATAGGGGCTTCCTGCCACTGCTAATCAGGGGGCCTCATTGCCCCCATCAGCTGTTCCATCACCCCTGTAAGCAATCACATTTAGGTCCCTCTCTTTAGCTACTCAGGTCCCGGCTGTCCCTGGCTGCCCACTTAGCTGATGGCAGCTCTGAACTGAGCCCCTGCCAGCTTCCTTCGGCCCAACCCCCAGCCACTCCAGTTTGACACATGAGGACACTGAAGCTCAGAGGTGAGAAGCCTCTTGGTCAGGGTCACTCAGCTGGTGAGGAGTTGAGCCAGAACTCACACCCAGGCCTGCCTCGGGCAAGCCTGAGCTCCCACCTTCTCCTCTAGAGAAGAGAACTTGAATTCTCTGAGCTTCTGTTTCCCCATCTCTGAAAAGAGCTGACAGGATCTTCACTGCCGTGTCATTTGTAGGATTAGAGAGAGTGTCTGTGAAGAGCCTCCGTTGGGTGGTCCTGCTGAGTGGGGGGACCCATGTGGCTATCTGGCCTAAGTGGGCACACATTGCTGCCAGCCAGTACTCCTGACACGCTTTCTGTGGCCTTCCAGTGGTCGTTGTGAGTGAGCTGTGAGGGTGCCTGTGTTTCTCCATGGGCTGGGGTTTTGGGTACCCCTGGGGAGGAGCTCAAAAGTTAACTCTTTGTTTTGGTTGGAGTTCTTTGTGGTTCCCACAGATGTGGGGTTGAGCTGGCCTCGGTAGAGTTTGTGCTTTGATTGTTTCTTGAAGAATGCTTCAGTGGCAGTGGCAGTCCTGAGTCTTCCAGGAAATAGAGCTCTTTGTGGCATGAGATGGACAAGCCCCAATTTCCAGGGCTGTCTTTCTGGACACAGAGATGGAACTGCTCTTACCTTATGACCCAGGGTGCAGGCTCAAGAAAGGAATCTGAAAACAACCTTTTTCTTCCCCTAAAATCATCGAATATTAGGGTCAGAAAAACCATAAAATATCCTTGAGGGTGGAGTAAGCTTCCAGGGCCTGCCCCATGGTGTAGTGGTTGGGTTCAGCGCACTCTGCTTTGGCAGCCCAGGTTCATGGCTTCAAATCCCTGGCGTGGACTTACACCACTGGTCAGCCATGCTGTGGCAGTGACTCACATACAAGGTAGAGGAAGATTGGCACAGATGTTGGCTTGGGGCTGATCTTCCTCACCAAAAAAAAGGAAAAGAAAAGAATAAGCTTCCATTTTACAGAGAAGAAAATCAAGGATTAAATTGGTTAAGTGACCTGCATGAGGTCACAGAGCGTTGGTGGCAGAACCAAGCGTAGGACCCAGGGCTCCTCCTTGCACCCGCTGCCCACTCCCCACTGATCTGGGCCCCCGGGAGCGGGAGGCTATGGCCTGGGCCTGCACACAGAGCCAGCAGAAGTTCTGCATCTCTGTCATCGGCCAAACCCCATCAGGGATCAGGGTAGGGACACCCAAGGATTTGGCCAGTCCCGGATTACTACAGACTTGGGATAGCTGTTCCTTTCAGTAAAGATTTTGTCCATAAATATCTTAATTTTATTTACTAGGTTGCCTGGCACATAATAGCATGCATTATTAATAGAGTAGCTGAATACTGTCTGTTAAATAGGCATGCTCTTTGCAGCGTAAAAGGAGCCTCTCTTTTATGATGTCCTTTACAATGCCACGTGGTAGCAGCACGTGCTCAGAGTATTACAGCCGGCTTCCGTTTGACCTCTCACAGAAACATAGAAGGCCGTCTCAGGGACAACTCACGAGGCTGGCGATTAACGTGGACGCACGCCTCTAAGTACTGTGTTCTCCCAGCCCGATTTCTGTGCCGGGAGCTTCGCGCAGGGTAAGCATATGATTCTGAAACTCTTATTCTCCCCACTGCCCAAGTGTGCCCGCTGCCTCCGATGGTGAGCCACGGCGATTTCATCTGCCACCCGCGGCCTTGCGATCGCTACAACCATGGAACCGTGGTAGAGTTCTACTGCGACCCCGGCTACAGCCTCACCAGTGACTACAAGTACATCACCTGCCAGTACGGGGAGTGGTTTCCTTCCTATCAGGTCTACTGCATCAAGTCAGGTGAGCGCGTCGAGCACCTTGCCCTCCCCGCACGGGCCAGGCTCGGAGGGCACACAGTGGCCGCTGGCTGTGTCCTGGGCTCCATCCCTCCTCCCCCACACACGGTGTTAGGATCTCATCTTTGTGGATGCACGTGGCTGATGATTCCAGGCCCTGTTCAGAGGGTCAGGAGCATTAACCTGTCTGTTCCCAGGTTAAAGTGCAGACCCTCCGAACAGGGTCCCCATCCCCCTAGCACCCATGGATTGAGCTCCAGCCTCTGCACACTGTCTTCTTCCAACCCCATCCCCTTCCACTGACAAGGACACAGGCCCATGGGTGTGACCCAAGCATTGCCTGACTCTACCTTTCTCTTCTACTTAAGGTAGTAGAATACAAACTATATTATTATGGGTGAGACCTGATCTCATTTATAAAAATCTAGGCCACTTGCAAGCTTCAGGGCTTTGTAGTTAGTAACCAATTACTAGCATACCAGCCTCGCTACTGGTCTCAGAGCACCAGGGTAGTGACCACGTGACGGAGACCTGGGCACCAGCGCATACCCGCCCACCGTCTCCTGCCCTCCCTGGTCCTGCCTACCCGCCCCGTGTGCCTGTGGCCAAGCAGTGGGGATGGCTGCACACTTTTCCCTGCACACAGCATGTGGGGGAAGCGTGTGTGGACACGGTGCATCTGGAGGTCCAAAAATGGTCACGTTAGCTAGCACTGGAGGAGGGCAGAGAGGGTCTAAGGGGGCGGCTTCTGAGCAGGATGAGGGCAGGGGAGGAGGTGGCAGCAACAGGGACGAAGTCTAAGAGATAGGTGGCTTGTGTCAAAAGGACAGGAATCTATTCTGGAAGGGTCTGCCCGTGCCGCCCCTTACTTGGCAGACACCCTTCTGTCTCTTCTTCATCCCAACCGATGGTCTATTCCAGAACACTCACACAGGGCTTTAGCCCACTTCCCACTCCCCCTGCTCTTGGTCCATTTCAGAACAAGACTTCTCCAGGAGAGAGGAAACCCCTCTCCGCCTGAGCTGCAGGTACATTATTTAGCCCCATGCCAGGCTCACCCCAGTCTGGCGTGTGAACATGTGGGTCTGTCTTCAGTCTGCCGGAGCCCATGCTGGAGACAGGTTTTTAGTGTTCTGGGATCTTGGTGGGATGTAACACAGGCCGACTTGGTCAGCGCCCGGGGCACGCAGTGAGCGGCTCATTGGCCAGATGAATCCAGCAAACGGGGACACGTGGGAACCTCAGCGCCCATCTCAATCTGGGAGCCTCATGCACTGCTTTGTTCTCTCTTGTGGCAGAGCAAACGTGGCCTGGCACCCACGAGACCCTCCTGACCACGTGGAAGATCGTGGCGTTCACGGCCACCAGTGTGCTGCTGGTGCTGCTGCTCGTCATCCTGGCCAGAATGTTCCAGACCAAGTTCAAGGCCCACTTTCCCCCAAGGTCAGTGCTGCAGCCTTGGTGGCCCACAGCCACCCGGGTCAGGCTAAATGCAGCCGCTGTGCACAGCAGAGAGAGAAGGTGGTGAGCCAGACCCCTGAGGACTGCAAAGTTGAGGTTCTAAGGGCGCATGGGAGAGAGAGCTCAAAACACTTTGCTGGGCTGTTTCAGGGTCTGGGAGGCCAAAGCGCCAAGCTGGAGACAGACCTCATTTCCTTCTTTCTGCCCTCCCTCCGTGAGCCTGTCTCCCTCCTTCCCTGGATAGACCATTCTCGGGGCACGCATTGCGGGAATGCGGGGAGGGGAGCAGAGTCCAGGCTGCACGCTGTGCACTGCGCCCCCAGGGGCGTCGTTCTCCCCGCCGTCTATGCGTGAAGCCCTGAAGTCACATACCTTGGAGCTTCCAGTCCTCAGGGAGGATAAGAAATACACTGAGCTAATTAGGGAGAAAGCAAGGGTGTGTGACCCAGTGTGCGATGGGAAGCCTCAGGAAGAAGAGGATTCTGGATGGGGGAGTCAGGACAGGGCTAGGGAGAAGCCGCCTCACAGGTGGATCTGAGCGTGTGGGTGGGACCTGCCGAGCGCGCTTCTCCATCTTCCTCGGCTGCACGAGTAAGCTTGGCTTGGCATCTTCATCCTCCTCATCGTCATCACCAAGGAAGAGATTGTCCAATACCTCTCTGAGCACACAGAGCAGCCTGTGGCCCTTCCCCTCCCAGCGCCGGCTGCTTGTCCGGAACAAGCTACACCAGCGCCCTTTGGAACAAAGGAGAGCCACTCGGCACTGCTGTTGGTAGATCATTGTTTCTGGAGGGAGAAGTTGTTTAGAAAAGCAAAGGGATGAGTTTGTGACCATTGGGAAAAGGAGGGCAGGGCACCAGTCATCACAGGATGCTAGCCAGGGCTCACTGACACGGCCGCCTTTCACAGAGGAAGAATCATAAGCACCCGTTGGATTCCTGTGCCCATTTCAGAATCTTCTCCTTTTGGGACCTCATGCTTCAGAAAGGGTGTTTATTCTTGCCCACAGGGACAGTCTCGTTCCAGGGCCATGGGTAGAACCCCCTGGAAAAGAGAATGTTGCTAAGTGGAAAAGGGGGCTCCTGGAGTTAACCACTCCTTCTTCTCTCTCTTCCCTCCTGGACAATCCAGTTGTGTCTCTCCCACCTCCCAGCCAGGCAGGGAGTGAGGAAGCTGGCAGTTTCTGGAGATAGAATCTACCTACCTTCCCCTTGACCTCCTGCCCTCCAGGATGGCCTCACCTCACTTAGCCATGCTCCCCTGCCTGGCTGCAGGGGCCCCACAACCTGACATGCACCCCACTCTCCCAGCCACGAAAGGGTGCTGCATGCGGGAGGCGCCTGCATCCTCACCAGGCCCAGAGTGTGTCAATGCCATCCTGGCACCGTAGCCAAGCCCTTGCTGAGGTTGCCGGAACCTTCTCTCCTCTCAAAGCTGCCATCTGCTGTCTTGGTCCTCACCATCATTATTTATTCATCAAGGACCGTGTTCTAGCATTGTGCAATTACGGTATCTAAAGAAGGCCTGAGGATGACAACAAGAAGGCTAAGCCACAGGTTGTGATTTGCGGCACACTGGAGTGCTTTAAAATGGCCCAGAGAGCTATTTTTCTACATGTGCTTGGAAGGAAACTTTCCAGTATTAAGATGTTTTCAAAATATTCCCCAAAACTCTTTCACTTGATTTTTTTTTTTAATCCCTCGAGTATTTTTATCTTAAATGATTCTCTAGTTGTTTTGGAAAAATCGGTGTCATCTATTCAAATACATAAGATTCTCAAGGGCAAGCCCGGAATGGATTTTTTTTCTCCATTTCCCACAAGAGTAGGCGCTGGGGAGATGCTCGGTGGCTCTGTCTGGGGGAGCTGAGGGTCATGGCTGGGACATGGGGGAGCTACTGGACCGTGGGACCCACGGCCTGGGCCACTGTTGAGTGAGAAATGGAGAACAGAGGGGCAGCTGGCTGCCCTGGCGTAGACAACTTTGGGGGAAAGGCAGTGAGGAGGCAGGAGGTCCTCCGTGAAGAAGGAGGCAGCATGAGACCATCGGGGGGGAGGCCGGGAAGGAAGGGGACTCAGCTTGTCAGGGGTACACTGACAAGCAGCTGTTTGGGGGAGCGGAGCCTTACTCAAGCTCTTACCTTCCTGCCTCCTGCCTTCAGGGACCGTGGGCCCTGCCATCTCCCTCCCTCCACGGGTAGCCTTAAGAATGGTGGAATAAGAACCCATTGCCATAATCTCTAAGCAGGGCGCTCCCAAAAGTGAGTGGACTTGACACTGTCCCTTGGGTGATAGAGACAGTGCAGCCCAATCCTTCCCGCCCCCCACTCAAATGACAGGTCCAGATGTTCCATTTCCTTGGGCTTTAGAGGCCCTGCCACCAGCGCTCAGGGGTTCAGGTCCTGCCCACCCAGCTGGGTTGTCTCTCTTCCTGATTTACCTTCTGGCTGCATGACTCTGCACCAGTTCCCCGCAGAGGAAAAAAGAAACCAAATTCCACTGGCCACTTATTAGTGGCTACTCCAGGTTTGTCTAGGGGGCCACGAGCAGCAAGAGGCCATAGAGGCCGTCGGATGGAGCTCACCTTGCGCTTTGGCATCAGACGCTGCCTGGGCTCAGATCCACAGCGCTGAACGTGCAGGGTGACGAGATGCAAAGGGACAAGGCCAGGAGCTGCGTGCGTGCCCACGTGAGGAGATGTCTGCAGAGAGAACAGACCATGTATGTGCCACCCCCAGAGCCCTTGCTCCAGGCAACACAGGCACAGCTTCGGTTCAACTGATGCTGGGTCGAGAGGTGGAGGGGAGGCCACGTAACTTGAACCAGGTAGTGAGATGGTGCTCAGAGCTTTCTTTTTTTTTTTTCCTGTTGCTTTCCTCTCTTAACTAAAAATTAGTGATTTTTATACTATAGCAGAAAACAAAACAGAAGCATAAAAGGCACAGGGTCTAACCTTTCTTTGTAGGCACTTAGGGTCCGCAGTTCTCTATACTTTTAACAATTCTATTCCGTTTTCAAGAATCTTCCTGAGGGACGCTGCAGAGGCACATAGAATGTTCTGTTGGAAGGGACCATATGGTCCCCCTGCCCATGAGTTCATGGCCATAAGGCCAAGCCCAGGGGTCAAATGCGGGAGGAAGGGAGCATGAGGAAGTTGTGGAGCACAGAGGCAGCAGGGAAGAGCAGGAGGGGAGAGGCAGGGGGCCCGGGGCAGTGAGGAGAGGAAAACTTCTGCTCTCCAAGTGTGGCCGTGGTGAACGGCACTGTTGCCAAGCCAGAGGCTGCTGCTTCTGCACCACATCCTCACAGGGCCCAGAGGCCCGCTGCACGGAGGAGCCGTGGTGGCCTCAGCCTGGGGTGGTGTCACTCTGACCTGTTGGCACTGCTTTCCTTTGCACAGGGGGCCTCCTAGGAGTTCCAGCAGTGACCCTGACTTTGTGGTGGTGGACGGGGTGCCCGTCATGCTCCCGTCCTACGACGAGGCTGTGAGTGGCGGCTTGAGTGCCTTAGGCCCTGGGTACCTGGCCTCCGTGGGCCAGGGCTGCCCCTTACCTGAGGACGACCAGAGCCCCCCAGCATACCCTGGCTCAGGGGACACGGACATGGGCCCAGGGGAGTCAGAAACCTGTGACAGTGTCTCGGGCTCCTCTGAGCTGCTTCAGAGTCTGTATTCGCCTCCCATGTGCCAAGGGGGCACCCGCCCTGCTTCCGACAACCCAGACACAGTTGCCAGCACAGCAGAGGAGGTGGCATCCACCAGCCCGGGCATCGACATTGCAGATGGTGAGTGATCTCCCCAGGGCCTGAGCCACCCTTGCATACACCTCCACACTCAGCATCCAGTGCCTTCAAGCCGGCCTCTTGCTGTGTATGTCCCCCTGCGCCCCTGCACACAGCCAAATCAATGCTTCCCTCTCACTCAGCTTAAATTGCTTCTTGCTCTCTCTGCATGTGAAAGCCGTGGGCAAGGCCAATTATGGGAAGGAATGATCATCATCTCACAAGTGGTGAGCCCATTAATGGGAATTTCAGGAGGCACAAAAGGGCACCGAGCCGTCCAGACTGGAAAGGCTGCGGCAGGCAGTCCTTGGCTTTCATAGCATCTGTGCGATCCAGGCTATTTTCCTTCTTTATCTCATAATGAGCTGGGCTTCTCAAAGTGATGCTTAGGAACAGGATAACACACGCCAGCTAAAAGAAAGACCCGGATGCGTGTGCTAGAGCCCAGCCCCACAGAAATTTGAGGGACATACAGGTTATTTTTTGCCAAGCGTGAAGTAAAAGATGTATGTGTGTCTGTCACAAGGAAAGGCAGATTGCAGCTCATGGTAAAGTAGGAAAAATGCATCACACTAATTAGGGCTCTATTTCCTGGGGGAGGGGGCACCAGCACCGCTTTAAAACCAGAGCACCGATTCCAGCTTGTGTCGTCTGTAAATGGCAGTAATGATGCAGAAACAGGGGGCTCCTGGTTCCCGGTGGAGTTCCTCTCCTGCAGTACCGTGCTGTCTCTCTGTGCGTGCATTGGTAACCTTTTGGCTTGTATGACCCTTAAGGCACATGGTTAAAATCTATTTTGTTTTTTATGAGCTGGGTATAAGACTTTCCAGCAAATAGATGTACGGCAGAGTTGGTTTATTTGATTATTAACTGATACGTGGAACTTAACATCTCCTTCTTCTCACTGACTTCAGGAACTGTAGGTATTTTGAGAAAGCACGTAATTCCAGATCATTTTCGGTGTCCTAAGGAAATACCCATCTCATCTCCTTTCTTACAGAGATCCCTCTAATGGAAGAAGATCCGTAACCAGGCAAAGTCCCAATGACTCTACTGCCCCTCTGGGGATGAGACCCTTTCACCTTGGAGTGAGGCCACAGAAGGACAGGACTTAGGGGGATGGGGGAAGTTTTCTAAGTATCTCCATGGGGACGGTGACTCACATCGTACATCTCGGACTCGACAGCGAGGCTGACGAACTGCGGTGGCAGTGCTTCTAAATGAGACTGGAGGACTCCCCAAGACCAGTGGGGAACAAAGGGATGCAGGAGGACCCCTGTGCCGTCCTGGGTGAAGGTGTTCAGTGTGTCTCGTGCTGTGGAACGTAGGACAATTCTACGCACATGCCATCAAATCCCACGTCCCGTTGGCTTAGGTTCTGACTACCACCTGCCTCCTCTGAAAGCATGTCACATTATGTAAATTTGCTTCTAAAATCTGCCTCCCACTGTCTCTGGACTTCAAATTCGGATGGATCAGCCTCCATGGGAAGTCCACGTGGAGCTGCTGGAAGAGTGGCAGAGCGCCCCCTGCAGGCTCCCAGAGGGAGGGTTCTCATGCGGCCTTTGGACAACCTTCCTTGATCTGGACAGCTCTACTCAAAGCAAAACTAAAGCAGATGTGGCGGTTCCAGTGAGAAAGGAAAGACTCAGGCAGACTCTGCTTTCTGGAAACTTCTAAAAGTAGAGTTCGTGCGCTCCGTGCTGTCCTTTGGTGAAATGTTGTCCGTATTTGTAGTCATGTTCTAGCCCATGGATCCGTGGCGTTGGATAAATCTTGTGACTTGACACATGGTCAGAATGTGTTCAGATACATCTCATGGTGGAGAAGGTAACCAAGGTAATGTTTCGTTTGGGCGTCTTAAAAAGATTCCACTTAACGATTTATCTTCGAGTCATGAGCCCCTCTCCAGTCAACTCTTATGATTGTTGCTTCCACTCCCAAACTCAGCCATATTTTATTTTCCAAAACAAAAATTGTTTCTGTAAACACATTCCTCCTCCAAATAAAGTATGAGGTTGGATTTCTTTTTTCCTTTTCTTTTGTCCTGCACAGTCCACAGGCTGGCCTCCCAGGCCCAAGGCAGCTCTCCCCTCCCGCTCTGGGGGCCTGGGGCTGCCCCTCCTGCCTGCCAGTCTTGCATTCCTTCTGTGCTATCTCCTGGTACCCAGTGGGTGGTGTTCCTCAGAAAATGATGGATAAAAAAATTTCCCGAGTCCCCAAATGTCTCTTCAAATACATGTTGATCTGTGGCGTTGATTCCCTCCCTCCTCTGGGTTTTAGACAAATGGAAACAAAACTCTGATCCATAAAATTGCTCTGCTGACAGAGCAGCGAGAGCTGGAGGCTTATCAAATCTTGTTTTTTCTTGACATAGACTGATTAAAAATTTAAAAGAAAATGACAGTTTGAAGCGTGACTTTAATAGTGGAGTGGAGTTGGAGGACAGAGGAGGGGCAGTGACAGGGGTCATGGGTGATGGAGATAAAGTGTAGAATAGAACTTGAACCTCAAGGAAGTAACTTGCCCAGCCTGGCACCCCAGGCAGTGGCGCCAGCAGCAGCAACAACGTGCTGAGCATGTGGGTAACAGTGTTTAGTAATTATAACTTTGTTTAGTGATGGCCTTACCTGTCCCTGGCACAACTTTGTACTGCAAGCCCCATAAAAGGAGCTAGATTGGTGCTTAAATGCCACCTGGCCCACCCAGGGACAGATGGCATGGGCAGCTAGGTGGGCATGCGGGGATCCAGGGTCCACCGTGGACAGCCTCCCCCAGGCAGCCTTCCCAGGATCTCTGTCAGGCCAGGTCTCGGCTCTTCTCCATACCCACACCCATCCTCCTTCCCATGCCCGCTCCATGGAGGGTGTGCATCAGAGACCATCAGGCAAGTAGGTGGGAAGAGGTGTGCAGGGATGTCTCTGGGGCCTGGCCTTGCCTCCTTCCAGAAAATGTTCTGGAAATGAGGGAGCAGCAGCATGCCACCCCGTCACCTGTGAACCAGTACAGGGATGCGTTTCCTGTCCCCTGCGCCTGGGAGACAGGTAACACAGGTGCCATATACGTCCAGATATGGTGTCAACCTTGTTCTAAGAACAGCGGCAAGTGAGAAGGAAATGCCTGCTTAAGGGCAGCATCAGACAATGTCTCACCGAGTCACCTGGACTCTCCCCTCAATCCTTTTAGTTTGTGGCCACATCAGAGTCTCACCCACAAATACTATTTCCTGGGATTCTTTTTCATTATAGTGAGTTTATGTGGCAAGAAGGAATCACCAGGGTATCCCAAGCATGTCGTGATTCAGACTCTTTTGGTTCAAAAGTCCCGGGAGGTCCTCTGGATGTGAACGAGATCAATCTTTCTCACGCCACCACAGGAATTAGTAGGCATGAGAGTGCACCAGGCGTAGTGTGACTTGGGGCCCTAGAGGTGTGGTGTGCGAGAGACCCATCCTGAACGGCGGTGCTCCCTGCTCTGGGAGAAGGAGGCGCCTTCAGGACCATGGTCAGGGGCGTGCAGTTGAGCCCCGGAGGGTGTTCCATGGAGCCAGCCCAGGTGTTTACAGAAGGGCCTGCAGAGCAGCAGTTTTCTGGCTGACTGGCTCCCGTCATAAGCACTGCAGAAGTCACAGGGCGTCTTCACACTTCACTTGTGTGCAGCTTTTTTTAATTGCAAGGTTGTGATTTGCTGATGTGGGATCTTTAATCTTTCCCACCTAATTAGCCCCATCCCAGCAGCTGGCACCCAGACAAGACTGCCTTCTCCTCCTGCAGAAGTGTTTTGCCCCTGGCTGCACAGCAGGAGTCAAATGCAAAGGCCCACGGGCCACAGCCTGTTGGGTCCAGGGGCTTCTCCCGTTCCTTTGCTCCCTCCAAGGTCCCCCACCTCCACCCTAATCCCCTCCCCTGGTATGGCCCGGGTCCCAGTGTATTCCCCCCAGAGGCATGGCAATATTGTGGGAGAACATGGGCTTTTGCAACCAGCCATTGCCTGGCTTTAAAACCCGCCTCTGCCGCTAGCTGGCTGTGCACTTAGACGAGTTATTGCCCTCCCTGGACCTCAGTTCCTCATGCAGAAGGTCGAGATGCTTGACCTCTGCCCTCCTCGCTGGGCTGGGATGTGGATGACAGCTCATGTAAGTCAGGCACCCGGCGCACAGTAGGCATTTGATAAATTGCAGCTGTTCTCCCTTGTTGCGGAGTGTGATGGAGGGTTTCACGTGGGTCACTAACTCAGGCACACGTCCCTGGACGCCTTCGACTTGCCTTGTTCCCTGCTGCCCTGGAACATGTCTGCAGGCGAAGTTTGTTTGGGGCTGCCCCAGGCAGTTAGACTGAAACATGCTGTGCCTATTCCCCGGACCCTTCTCCCAGGAGGCCCTCCCAGGCTTCTGTATGCGAAGCTTTCTGGGCAGAGGGAAGTTTTCAATCCTTGGTCCTTTGGGCATTTCTGGAATGCTCCAGAAAGTTCTGCTCAGGGAGGGCAGGACAACCTCACAAATTTCCCCAAGGACTCAGGTCATCTCCACAGACAGCCCTGTAGATTAACACTCAGCTGCTTCCCTCATTTTATTGTCTATTTTGGATTTAAAGCATAAAATTAATGCCTATCCATTTCCAAGGTGATAAAGGGAAAGCTCGGGGTAGGGAGGTGTGGTCCAGCAGGCAGAACAGAGCCCCTGAGAGCAGCAGCCGCTTGTCAGGAAGGGTGGATGCTGGGCACAACGGCATTGAAATTATACAATTTAACTCAGAGTGTGTGGCATCGGCACAGCCGCGTTTAACTGCCGTGGCAGGCGGTGTACCGTCTCCACCCTGGCCGGGAAATCAGTCCCTGGGGACCCACAGTGCACAGTTTTAAGTGCCCAGAGGAGTGCCCAGCTACCTGAGTGGGAGCGTGAATGTGCTACACCCAGAGCCTCATCCAGGCATCCAGAGCCCGCGGGAGCCCTGGGCCTCCAAGGCCCTGGGATAAAGAAACCGGAACACCAGCAGATGCATAAAGAATTTGGGGCGAGGTTGGATGAGATGGAGCCTGAGGGAATAAGGGGACTAATATTTTCTGCTTGGAACCTATAAGAAATATTTATAGACCCCATTTCAGTCAATAAATATTTATTAAGCACCTGCTAAGTGCCAGGCCCTGTCTGTGCTCTCTAGTCCGGTGAGAAACAAGGACCGGTAAACAGGCAGCGACATACAGGAGCTGTGAAGCTCAGGATGCCTGACCCGGACCTGGGCTTTCAGGAGGCAATGGCAGCCGAGCTGGGAGCTGGCAGATGTGGGTGTGCAGGGGGAGAGGACCACGTGCCATCCTGGAGGTACAGGAGACCTGGGTGAGTTGAGAAATGGAGAGTTGTCCTGTGTTTTGGGAGCCCAGAGCTTGCGGTCCTTTGGAGAGGATGAGAGGGTGGGCAGACAAGGAGAGAGACGGGCCCGGAGAGATAACTCAGGACCAGACCGGGGTTCCCTCCTCGGGCCACCTGAGGACTTAGGAAAGAACATTCCACAGCTTCCCTCAAGACCACATTCTTGGGTGTGACAAACTCCTTCCTCGTGTTGTCCCTTCCCGTTTGGTCTTAATGGAGATTTTGTCACCCATGCCCTGTGCGCTTTGCTAACTCTCGGGCTCCATGGTTCCAGGACTCTCATCTTTCCTTCATGTTTTACAACTCCTTCAATCCTTTGATGCTAGATTCCTTCACATCCCCTCATCGACATTTATGGGAAGCCCATGAGTTATCACTAAGCTGCATGCTGAGGGCACCTAAATAGATGAAATACGCACACAGGAAACCATAAACCAGGCGGACGGGCAGCGACAGCACCACATACCTGGTGCCTGGCAAGCACATGGAGGAGGCCCCCAGCCCGGCCTGGGAGGCGGGGGATGTTTCCCAGAGATGGGGCTGCAGAGCCCCTTGGCACAGTGAGGCCATCTTTGTGCCCACATTAGCCACTCTTTCCTCGCCATCGAGGAGAATCTCAGTGCTAAATGGGACTCTCAAACTCGGCCGTCTGCTAGCTGTGACGTCTTTCTCTGCTTCAGTTTCCCCAACTGTAAAACATGGGAAATCATAAGACCTGCTCCATAGGGTTGTTCGGTTGAATCTACGTAAATTGACTAGAACCACGTGGTATGGGGTACACAGTCAAAAGGTGTGACCTGTTACCGTTATTAACTCAGCCGGTTCTGTGATGCTGGCTCCCCTCCCCGACATCCCAGGCACAAAATTAAATCGACCTCCTGGGGTGTGTTTGCTCTTCTCCACAAGCATGGCACCGTGACGTGTTCCACTCTGATTATTGCACCATCTCCACTTGGCCACTGAGATTCCCTCTAAGCTTTTAGTGCCTAAACAAGCCCCTGAGGCACAGGTGTCAGCCCACTGGAAAGAGCCTGTCCTAGTATGATCCAGTTCACTTTTCCGAATCTGCCTTCACGGATGTCATGGGAAATGGGAGCAGCTGCTCTACAGAAAACTGTCTTCAGGTCCCCCCCCCCCCCACCATCCTCCCCAAACCATCCAGGGGCAAAGCCACAAAGAAGAACGAAGCTAGTCCAGACTTGTTCTTTGTTAACTTATGAACTTACAGTGATTTTTGTCAAGCACCACTTTCATGTCTAAGGCCAACAAGCCGTCTGTTTAATAATTGAACCAGATGCTTGTCTCACATCAACACCGAACTCCCGAGTCCAGAGGTCACAGACCTACCTTCTTCATTTTGGTCCAACGCTGTCTCAGCTGAGCATCTCCATCCTCACGGGAGCTCCGGCCCCCGCAGTTCTTCGGGGGCCCCTAACGTTGGCTTAGCGATATCAGCTCTGGGTTTTCTAGGGACCTGGAGTGGGCACTTGGGCAGAGCTGTCAACTGGTTCAACTCTTGGGCATTGACATACCACAGACCTTATTTTAAATCTCAGCGCTGTCAATTATAGAAGCAAAGCAAGGCAAGAAGATTGACATTTAAGCCTCATATCCTGCACCTGGAAAGTGAAGGTACTAAGCACCTATTTCATAGTTTGTCATAAGGATTAAATGTGATGACGATATTGACAGCTTAGAACACTGCCTGGGACAGAGCGAACACTCAAAAAACGGTAGCTGCTCTCAATACCCTGTTCTTTCTCCTTCTGTGCTCCAAAGGAATCAAGAAACGCCCCCTTCCTATTAGTCTCCTGTCAGCCCTGCACCATGCCTCCAGGGCAGCAGTGTGCCCCTGCCGCTCTCATCCTTCTTGCCTTAAAAGAACTAAGAATACTCTGAGGTTCGGTTTGGCACGTCCTACAGCTCCTGCCCATCTCGGGGTCAGCTCCCTGGCCTCCGTCTTCCAGGTCAGGCTGCATCCCTCAGGCATCTGTGAGCCCCTGCTCCTTCCCCACCTGAGGGCTCACCAAGGCTGGGTCCCGGGAGTCCCTGTCATAATACGCTGTGAGGGCTGCCAGCATCCAGAGGGGACATCCTTGTGGAGTCTTGGGCTGTGAGACCGGCTCTCCCCGACTCTGAACTTACTGAAATATGGTGTCATAACAAAAACAGGGTTAAACAGAGAGCCTCATGGACTGAGCGCTTGGGCATCAAGGCATGACTGCAGCCAGCCCCAGAGGACCCTCTGACATTGCATGGGCCGTCTAGCACGGTGGTTCTCAGCTGGGGCGACTTTGCTCCCCCAGGGGACATTTGGCAATGGCTGGGGTTGTCACAACTGGGGGATGGAGCACCCCTGGCATCCAGTGGGTAGAGGCCAGGGATGCTGCTAACACCGCACAGTGCACACAACACAGCCCCCACGGCCAGGAATCTCCCAGCCCAAATGCCAGTAGTGCCAGGGTTGAGAAACCTGATTTAGGAGAGAAGTTCCGTGAGGCTGTGGGACTTCCTCTGTGCCCTACAGCTGCCAGATGACCAGGGTTTGACTCGGTCACCCGTGCTCTGAATCAGGGCATCCAGACCCTTTGGTGTCTGGGACCCTTTGACAGTCTGGCGAGGTCTATGGAGCCTTTCTTAGAATAATATTTCTAAATGCATAACGTAAGTAAAACCAATGGATTATATGGAAGCACAGTTATTAAAACACTTTTAAAAACTAATATATAACACAGTTATATATTTTTTTCTTGATTAACATTAAATAACAAAGTCTGGCAGTAGGTCTAATAACTACCATAAATGCAAGGCGGCGACAGTTTGCGTGAACAATATTTTGAGATCTCTGTAAACACTGGAAGGTGATCTGAAAATATCTGGAGTTTCTTTTGGTGACCAAGTCACAGGCACAGCTGATGCTATGGTTCGTTGTCCGCATGACAGTGAAAGAAATGCTAACCTCAGTTACAGGCTCATAAGAAGGAGATGCAAGTGTTTCTCATTCAAGTCCCTGGATCCCACGAGTTCTAGCCACCAACCCAGGTTCCAAAGCCTTCCTCTAAAGCCTGTGTTGCTCAGGCTGAAGTTTGCATGCAAACTGGCTCAATTTCTCCTCCCCAACAGGCATGAGTTCTGGATTCAGAGAAGATACTAGAGAGTCTCATGAGCTGTCATTAGTCTCAGAGTAGCCCTTGTCATTTAGTCTGTAGTCAAGTGAAAAAGCAAAGGCTTTGGAAAAAGAAAACCTCCCAGCTCTACCATTCACTAGCTATGTGACTGTGTATTAGTTCCTTAACCTCTCCGAACCTCAATTTCTTCATCCATAACATGGAGAGAGTACCACCTGCTTTGCAGATGTCTTGTAAGGATTAAATGAGACAGGAAATGTAAGAAGCCTAATGCGATGTTTAGTGCATAAACAGTTGTTCAAAAATGGGTGGTTGTTGTTGTTAAGAGAGGTCAAGAGTTGAATAATATTTTCAGCAAGATTCTAGAGAGTTGAAATCATAATGCCGTGTGGTCTCTGATCTGTGTCCAACACATCTTTCATTTGTTGCACCTGCTCAAGAGACTTTTCACAAATTCTGCATCGTTTCTACCTTGTTCCCTTTCCTGTTATCCGTATATAAGTGTTTTCCAGGTCATTCTACCCCCAAAGCCGCAAGTTTACATGCAAGTGTGTATCTTCCATACCTGCCACTTTCTACTTCCCCCTAGACAGGTCCTCTGACTGAGGCTCAGTCACCCACACATGGTGGCTCATCCTGAATCTTGGAGATAACCCCAAGGTGGTATGTACTGCCCTGTGTTTGGAGCAATTTTTAAAAAAGATTTCTGAGACTAGCTCCACTTTTCCAAACTCTGAACAGCGCTCCTGGCCTCAGTGTTTGAATGTGCCTCCTGCTCAAATTTCCCCATGCTCCCCACACTCCTAGCGTGGACCTGCCTAGGTTTTCTCAAACCGAATTGGAAAAGTTACATTTAATGAGACCCAATCTGAGCCCATGTCTGCTGAGGGTCGGGCTCATTCTAGCCTTTCATTGAACGTAACGTTGCTGAGAAAGATGGACCTCAGATCTATCTGTCTCCCGGGGGGCGGGGTGGGGGGGGCAGCCCGTGGTGGGTCTCCTGTGGGTCCCTGTGGGGGATCTTGAACCCTAGTTCCTCTCCCTTTTCTCTGAGAAGTCTCTATATGGCAGCATTGCCCTAAGTTCAGGATGTTAATAGATGTCAGGTGGGAGAAGAATTCTGAGGTCAAATTTGGGAAAAGTTCTGTGAAGCAAATCATTGGGCTTTCTTACTGAAGGACACCTGGGTTTTTAATACGGTCATAGTAACATAGGGTTTCCCATGGGACCCTCTTATCACACAGCATCCCCAGGACCCCTCTGGGCAACACTTACCTGGGATGAGAGGGGGACCAACCGCGAGGCCCCCAGAGCCCACACCTCACGGCCCCACAGTCATACAGGCCTCTCCTAGTCCCGACATCTTCTCCTCTGCAGTGGCTAGGAGGCCACTGTGGCCCCAGCTGAGGTGGGGTGCACTGCTGGGGTCACATGCCACTCCCCAGCGGGATCCCAGGACAGCAGTCCTCTCTACCCCCGATGGCTGGGCACCCACCTCTTTCTGGAGGACCTCACCAAGGCCCCGCACACTCTGACCCCAGGGAGAAGGATCAGAACAGACACTGCTCAGCTTCCCGCTCAGAGGTCGCTGTGATCCAGGCCTCGTGGCCACTCTGCCCCCCACCCAGGATGGGATCAGCCGAGACCAGAGAGGTGGGCCAGGATGTAACTGAGCTGAAGCAGCTGCTCTGAGGACGCCTGTGGGCCATGCAGAGCAAAGACAGAGGCTGGGGCCCTCGGTGGGCCTGCCCCGAACGGGAGGACGGTTCAGACGCGGCATTGCAGATACCAAGCAGAGAAGTTGGAAGAAACACATTTTCAAACGATCGACAATGTGAATGAAACAAATTGGGATCAACCACGCTTACAGGAAAGACAGAATTCTCTTTTTATTCTCTCTATAGAAAAGAGCATTACAAAATTACTGTCCAAAAAGGAGATCAAAGAATATACAGCCAAGACATGCAGGAGAAAAGCACTATAGGTGAGTGGCAACAGATGATCAATAATAATAACATAAAATATTTTGTTATTTTTTTCTCAAATTTTCTGATGTCTGTATTGTCGGCTTTTTGAAATGGATACTTTGGTGTGATTTCTTATTCTAAATAAATGCTCATTTTTGTATTAACGTTGCATTTGTGGTTCTGCATTCTTTTCCTTAAGGATGGCCCCCAAGGTTCTGGGCCCCCCCGAAGAGGTGGCGAGTGGTCAGGGTGGCGTCTTGGATCCCTTCCAGCTCTATCATTTTATCAATCTCCATAAAACCCAGGTGTTAGGAAGACAGGCCTCTGATAATAAGGTGAGAATGAGGACTAGTGTTTGTAGGGCTGTCAAGTTTTCCCAGCACTTTCGTGTCCATTATCTCATTCAATTCTCCCAATAGCTCTGGGGTATTGAGGTGGATCATTCCACAGGCCTAAATAATACATTCTAAAAAAAACCCCTAATGAGACCAATGTGCTTTGAAACTAAGCATTTCCCCCTGGCCTGAACTGCCCCGCCAACCTTGGCTGTGCGCACCTGCACCCCTACTCAGCCGGGACCCCTCCGCCCCCAGGGATGGCGCCTCGAGCTCAGCTCAGGGAACTGTTGCTGCCATTTCCCTGGTTTGCCTGTTCACCAGACAAACAGCACCATCTGGTGAAGCCAGGAGACCTGGCTTCTGGGCTCTGTCACTGCATGAGTGACCCCGAGCAGACCTGGTTCCCTCTCTGGGCTGCAGTTCCCTGCCTGTCGAAGGAGCGAGTTGCGTAAGACGGGGTAACCTGTAGCCCCTGGTTTTAGAATTTCTGTCTTGGTCCACGCCAGTGTTCTCAGGGCAAGAGTTTCCTCCTCTGCCCTCTGGAGGCCCTGGTGTGCCAGCTCTCCAGGAACAGTGGCCCCCTCCTCCTGCCAGGCCGGCATTGTGCCCAGGGACCTCTTGCTGGTGAAAGGCACAAACCCAAAGCCAGGCCGGGTGCTGCTCGTCCTGGTTTCTAAAGGGGCAGGGGCTAGGCCACAGTGACCACTGAGGGGTGGGGCGGGCAGCTCCCTCCAGGGAACACAGGCCTCCTGGGGCCTGCCACCTTCCTCCATACGTGCCAGCCTGGTCACGCTCTCTCCTCGCTCTCCATCCGAGCAGAGGGCTGGTGAGAGGCCACAGGATGGTTCCCAGGGGAGGAGTTCCAGGGTCATGTGTAATCCACAGAGTCACCCCTGAGGAGCCCAGAGCTGGTGCGATGGGACAGAGCCCCTGAGCCAGGAACCCCAGCTTCTGAGTATCTTGGAGCCTTCCTTCTACTCCTTCAGTCACTCCTTCCCTCAAGCAGTCATTCAACGAACACATGGTCCCAGGCACCATGCTGTCAAGTGGCTCCATTCTCTGCACACCCACTGGCCAGGGCCCGACCCCCCGCCCATCTGGCCCTCTTCCCTCCCAGATCACCCATTTTGCTCCACTCCCTCTCCTTCCATTAGCTCCAACTCCTGAAGGTTCCCTCCCTGTCCTTGCCTCTGCACAGGGTCTGAGAGCCCCCACCTCTCTCAGGAAAGGAGGGGCCACCCGGGGCCCAGGAACTGCTCATTCAGACAAAGGAGGGAGCAGTGGCTGGGTGCAGTCCCCACCCTGGAGAAGGGGCTAGCTCTTCCTGAGGAGCAGCATCAGAGGGATCCACAGAGGACCGGGATCCGGAAAAGCAGGCCAGGTTTGCTGCGGGGCTGGGGCGGAGGGAGAAAGGGAGTCGGGGAGAGGGGGAAGCCAGGAGGAGGAGGAGGAGAGATGGGAGGGGAGATGAGTGAATATGGGGAAGAGAGGGTGGACCGGCAGGAGAAAAGAGCCCCCATGCCCCGCCCCCCACCCCGGGCCATCCTGCAGTACGGCCTCCCGAGGGGATAGAGGTGGTCCCCTTGCCCCACTGCGCCTGCGCCGCACTTCTGCTCTGCATTCCGGTCAATCCCCGCTCCCCAGGCTGATCAGCAAGGCAGCAGCAACTCTTCATGGTTCATGTGGCTGCCGGCTGGAAGGCTGTCTCGCTGCCTTTGACCCCCATCAGCACCTCGGGCTGTCTCTCTGAATGCCGACGGGGCTGGGGCGCTGAGGGAAGAAACACGGCCCTCTGTGTCAGACTCTTCAGAGGTCGGAGAGTCCGGCCCCCTAAGTGTCTCTGCTGAGCCAGCCCCAAAGGTCAGGGTAGTTCTGGGGCTTCAGAACCGACCTGGGGAGGCAGCCTGGGCTGCCAAGGTGAGCGCTGGATGGGGAGTCAGGAAAATGACTCCCACCCTGGTTCACCTCTCTGGGCTTCGGTTTCCCCACTTGCACAGGAGGAGGTGAACATAGATGATTCCTGGGGTCCCCTCTGGCTCTGATGCCTTCTGCTTCTACTTCATTCCTGCGTCTGCAGAGGACCAAGTCCAGCCCCCGAGGTACAAGGAGAATAATATAGCACAAGGGACAAAAAGTATAGTTTCTAAATACCTGGGAGTGAGCTGTTAGGTCTGGGAGTTGAGGGTGATGACGGAGAAATGTGAGTGACCGTCTTACAGAAAGTGTCACATGTCAGCTGAGCAGCCTCTCCCTGCCGGGCCTGGCTTAGCTGGGTGGCCGGGTCACTAGGCATGGTGAGGCCAGCTCGAGTGCCCATCACACTGGGTCCTTCTGGGGCCCAAGAGAGAATCGAGGGGTGACCTGGGGCGGGGGTCCCACGAAGACATCAGCAGGAAGGGCAGGAGGTGGTGTAAATCAGCCTGCTCATTGGTAAAATGGTTAAAGCAAACACGTGCAATATTTTTTTTTTGAGGAAGATTAGCCCTGAGCTAACATCTGCTGCCAATCCTCCTCTTTCTTCCTGAGGAAGACTGGTCTTGAGCTAACATCTGTGCCCATCTTCCTCTACTTTATATGTAGGATGCCTACCGCAGCATGGCTTTGCCAAGCTGTGCCATGTCCGCACCCGGGATCCCAACCGGCGAACCCCGGGCTGCGGAAGAGGAATGTGCGCTCTCTCACCGAATCCACTGCTCCCATGATGTAATGGATGATCTTTGTCTTCAGCAAGGACACACTGTCGCACTTGAATTCAAGCTTGTCTGTCTTCAAACCCACGTCTGCCAGAAGTCAGTGGGCTAAAAGTGGCAAAAATCCCCGTAAATCAGCAATCCCTGGCCTGTGCTTCATTCCTCAAGAGGCTCGGGCTCAGATGAGTTCCCCGCGACACCCAGAGCAAGGTGCACGGTGCCGGCCTGGCACCAGGGACGTGGGAGATGGTGTAAAGGGCCATGTTAGCTCTGACAAGCTCCCAGCAGCCGGGTATTTGTTTGACAACATTTATTGAGTGCCTGCCTTGTGCCAGGCATTGTGAGAGACTCTGGGGACATAGGGGTGGCGTTAGTGGCATGGCCAGCACATAGAGGGCTCCAAGTCTAGAGGAGATGACAAGTATCAGGAAAATGCAATCAGACAATGAGTGCTGTGATGGGGAACAAAAAATCTGCTTAGGGAGTCTCGAGATGGACCCCCTAAGCTAATGCAGGGCCTTCTGGTCACATTGAGGACAGTGGGCTTCATCCCTAGGCAGTGGGGAGCCATGGAAAGGTTTTAACAATCGGCTCTGTGGTCCGGGGAGACCCCTCCCGCTGCAGGGTGGAATGAACAAGACTGGAGAAGGGAGACCAGAGAGGAGGCTATGCCAGGAGGTAACATGGCCCGGAACAGGCTGGAGGCGGAGGGACTGGATGGGAAGATACTCCAGAGGCAGCCTTGACAGGCTGTTCAGACTGATGCACAGAGTTGCTGGGGGGAGGAGGCGGGAGGGGCCAGGAGTGTTTCCTGGTGTCTGGCTTCCGCAAGTGGGTGGTGGGTGTCAGTCACGGTGATGGGGGGACGCAGGTCTGGGTGGAAGATGGTGAGGTGGCTCCGCCATGTTGAGTTGGAGGAACCTGCAAGACCCAGGAGTGGAGATGTGGACTCAGCAATGGGTCAGAGATGCTCGAGCAACACGGGGTTGGCGGTGGAGAGCTGGAGTCAGCAGCATGGGACTTTCAGCCAGGCTTCCCCTTCCGGCAAGATGACCCTGAGAATGTGCGAGGAGTGAGAAGCGGCAGCCGGGGCTGACCCCGAGGAAAGGCATCCAACCAGTGGGCTCGGAGCGGGGTGCACGGGGGACCACAGCCCAGCGCAGAAGACCACAGAGGAAGGACTGAAGACTTTCACAGCACCTGGCGGGTAAGGTCATTTCTCTGAATTTTCTGAAATTACAATGGAAATTTTTGCCTGCAGGCAGCGCCCTCAGAAAGAGCTTCCCTTCCTGGTGTCATGTCACGACTGGCCTCACAGCCCCGCCATTTGGGTGGGAATCTGGAGATCTGGTCTTGGTCCCTCTTTGACCACTTACTCGCTGAGGGGTCTGTACATAGCAACTCACCCTCTTGGCCTTCAGTTAGATTCAGCCCAGAGCAATCACCTCCTGCCTGGTGTCCCTTCCTCTCTTTATTCCCAGCGTCCTGTCAGAATAATCCTTCCGAAGGGCAAACCAAACCCTTCTGAGGCTCCCCATCTCCTGGGATAAAGGCCGTACTCTGGGAACTCCCGGGTCCCCCATGGCCAGCCATGCCTGTCTCTCTAGATGCCCTCCAGCCCCTCAATGGCACTAGGCCCCTCGGCTCCTGCCCCAGCCAGGAATGTCCTCGGCATCACCCCATCTCCTTGAGGAGGCAGCTAGAGCCTCAGGCCCTGGAAACCTTCCCGGACCAGCACCACCTGCCCATTGGCTGACCACTTCCTCTTTAGGGCGCCCCACACCCCTTATGGGTTCCCACCTGTGTCTTCAGGTCAGCACCAGCCCTGCTGCAGGAGGGGGACGTGGGTCCATCCTCCCGGCTGTAGGAGCTCACGCCCCAGGGCGGAGCACAGAGCTGGTGCAAGGGCTTCCCCCAAACGCTCCCGGATCCAAATGAAATGCCAAAGCGGGGCACACCAGCGGCCAGGCAGCAGTGAGGGCTTTTACGAGGCCCGTGGACAACCTTCTTTGGATATTTAGGCTTTTTTTTTTTAATCTCCTATTTATGGAAAGTGCAAATAGTTTTTTCATTATGCAATAAGAATACATTCTCCTTTCTAAATCAGTATATTTAATTTTAGGTGAATCAATTGAAAAAACATCAGCAAATAACAGCACGTTTGAAGAGGGCGAGCATGGTGAATGAGTGATGTTTGGGGACCATCGGAGTAGAGAGGTGAACTCTGGGGTCCCCCCTGGCCCCACCACTAGACTTTCCACAGCTGTGTCTGCGATTCCCATGAAAGGACCATTTGCTACTCACAGAAGGGAGCCCCTTGGCCCTTAGTGCACTGCAGCAAAGCCCACCTTCCCAGACAGGGAGGGAAGTGGGCTTGGGGAGTGGTCCTGGTGCAGGGGAGCTCCTCTAGTGTCCCCATCAGCCCTCAGTCTTAGCCCAGAGCCCAAAAGGATGCCGGTTCCTGGGGACGCTGCCCCAGGCAGCCTTGCTCAAAGACTCAGATACGGACTCCTGCAGATGCCCTCGGAATGCCACCTGTTCCACACGGCAGATGCTGAGGTCTCAGTCTGGCTCCGGGCTCAGAGGCTCCCGGTTGATGAAGCAATTCAACAGCCTCTGCCTTCCTACACCGCCTGGGCAAGGGAGCCAGCCAGTGTTGGGAGCCAGCAAGGCTGGACGGGTGCCCACGGTAACACTGAGAGACCCTGAGGCCCGGCCAGTGGAGCACCAGCCAGCTGTGGCTGCCTCCACTAATTGGGTGGAACCTCCGCACCGGGCGCAGAAACGGCTTAGGGCTCCCTGCCTCAGACCCTCCAGGGCTTCGCACGACCTCCGGGATGCGGCACAGTCTCCTTCACACAACAGCAGGGCCCTCCACAGCCAGAGCCCCTGTCTCCCTCACACTCAGCCCAAACTCCACTTCTCCTGGGTCCTCAAACACGCCTGCCCTCTGGACCCCGGGGCATTGGGCATGCTGTCCCTCCGCCCCCTCCCCCTTTGCCTGGCTAACTTTGTTCAATCTTCGAATCTCAGTTTAGGCAACGCTAAACATCTTTCCTGTCTTCTGTGCCCAGAGCCCCCCTCCCCTCAGAGGCCTCACCGAGTTTTGTGTCACCTCCTCTCCCATGTCCAATCCTCCTCTGGCCTAGATGATTCTGGAAGGCAGAGTGAGGTCTGTCTCTGTGGTACCTCTTCCCCTGGCCCCCAGCACTGTGTCTACCACCTGATAGACAGTGTATGCTCTTTGAGTAAATGAATGAATGAGGGAATGAATGAGTGAGGAATCATGTGTTTGTGGGAATTCATTACAAATAGCAAGACACTTGTGTAAATCGGCATAGAGAGTGTTAGGGGACTGACTCAGGTTTCATATAACCGAGTCAAACGTTTCCAAGATCAGTCTGTGCTCTCCAGAAGGCGGTGTCTCCCCTGTCCACCTGAGCAGGGAGCGTGCACCCAGTGACCCAGGACCCCAGAGCCTGCGTGGCTTAGACCCAAGTAGCTGAGTCTCTCTGCTCCTCCCCTGACAGACAAGGGTGTCAGGCCTGGGAGCGGGCCACACGGGGGTGTAAGAGAGGGGGCCAAACCCGCTGCCCATCCTGGGAAGGCCGGCAGGAAGAGGGCCTACATCTTCCTGCTCAGGCGGGTCCCTCCTCACATGCTTTCTCACAAATGAGGACCCACAGGCAGAGAAGTGGCTCTAAGATGTGCTCTCTGGCCCCAGAACATTTCCCTCACGCTGCCCAACCTTCGGCAACAGAGAATCATTTGGGTTAAACACCAGGTGTCAGGAGCAGGCGGGAGCAATTAGCACAAACTTTCTTTTTTAAAAATTTTTCAGAAGTACCTTTTAATCTTTAACTGTGGTAAAATGTACCTAGGAAATTTACCGCGTTAGCCATTTTTGGGAGCACAGTTCAGTGGCATTAAGTACATTCGCATTGTCGTGCAACCATCACCACCATCCATCTCCAGAACTCATTTCATTTTGCAAAACTGACTCTCCCCATTTAACACTAACTCCCTATTCCTCCCTCCCCCAGCCCCTGGCAGCCACCGTTCTCCTGTCTATCTCTGTGAACCTGACTATTCCAGGTGCTTGAATAAGTGGAATCATCAGTATCAATCTTTTTGTGAGTGGTTTATTTCACATAACATAATGTCCTCCAGGGTCGTCCATGCTGTAGCCTGTGTCAGAATTTCCTGCCTTTTTAAGGCTGAGTAATATTTCATCGTATGGATAGACCACATTTTCTTTACCCGTTTATCTGTAGATGGACACTTGGCTGCTTCCACATTTTGGCTCTGGTGAGTAATGCTGCTGTGAACGTGGGTGTGTAATATCTCTTCCAGATCTCACATTCGGTCCTTTGGGGTCTATGTCCAGAAGTAGAGTTGCCGGATTATATGATAATTCCAGTTTTGAAGTTTTGAGGAATTGCCATACTGCTTTCCACAGCGGCTACACCACTTTCAGCACAGACTATTTTAACCAGACTCTGCCTGATGCCTGAATGCCACACGCCAGCCTCAGAGTGTCCCTTGTCATGAAAAAGGCATAAGGGAAGATGGCATGGAGGCTCCTCGAGCCTCATTCTCAGCACGCACCTGTCACGCCATGTTGTCTGCCCCACATCAGTAGTGTCCCTGCTCCTCCAGCCGCCCAGCAACCTGGGCTCCCAGATGCCAGCTCGAAGGTGCTGCTGGCACTGGCTCTGCATTCATCTTCCCTGCTAGCCTGTGAGCAGCAGGAGCTTTCTTAGCCTAACGTCTCCCTGAAAAGCTGAGCCTGAAACAAGAGCTTGTTTGCAGGTAGTTAGTCTGCGGAAGAGATGACAAGAAGCAGGAGTGGGGGCTTGGGGAGAACAAAGCAGAGAAAGAAGGAAAGGGTTTTGTCCTTGAGATGTCAGTACTGGGGCTCTTGGCGTTCCGTCCCACTGGGGCCCTCTGAGATGCTTAGGAGGACGGACCTCGGAATTTCCCCCAGGTGATGGAGTGGCTCCCATCCCTCGCTGGTCTAGAGTCACCCCATGGGTTATTAACATCCTCATTCATTCGGGTTGCCCATCGTGAGTGCCAGGCATGTTCCTGCGGGAGATGGTGGGAAAGCAAGGCAAGAAGCTGACAGGTACACCTGTGTGAAGCTGATGGCCTCACCAGTGGCTGGAGGGAAAGGTGGGTCCAGAGGATGTGAGGTGGGTGCAGACAAGAGGGGTCTGAGGCATGCTACTCATCCTTTAGCACAGGGTTCTGGCCTAGAGCTAATGCTGAATTGGTGTTTGTCAAATTAGTAACAACAAACACTGGTACGGCACTTACCACATGCCTGGCAGGGTCACAGAGCTCCACTACATTTGCTCATTTAATCCTCACAACAACCCTGTGGAGGCATCCTGTTATCACCCCATTTTAGAGATGAGAAAGTAGAAGCAGAGGCACGTTCAGTCGTGTGCCCAAGGTCACCCAGCTGGTAAATGGCAAAGCAGGGCTCAAAGCCACTCTCCAGACTGACTGACTCTGATGCAAATGAGTCCAATGAATGCCGAGAACACACAGCATGGAATACTTTATTTCCCAAGCCACCCCAGGCCAGGGAAAGCCACAGATGATATCACAGTGTAGCAAAAATTTTTTGGGCTCTGGCATCAGAAAGATCTGGCTGAGTTCAGCTCTTGCTTCTGCCTCTCACTAGCTGTGTGACTTTCAGCAAGTCACTTAAATAGCCTGAGCACCACTTTCCTCATCTGTAAAAAGCAGGTGCAAATACACTGCTCTCCGTAGAAGCCAATGCCGGAAGCAAGCCAGGTGCCTTCATTCCCTCAACATGGCTGAATCTTGAAACCATCCTCGGTGGAAGGAGCCTTAAAGGAAAGAATGCACTCTGTCTAAATGATTCCATTTATGGGAAGTTCTAGAACAGGCAAAACTAACCTATGATGGAAGAATCAGAACAGTTGTTATGTTTGGGGTCAGGGTGGGGACAGGGATTGCTGAGAAAGTGCAAGAGGGAACTTTCTGGAGTGACGGTAATGGTCTATATCTTGATAGGGGTTTAGATTACACAGCTGTTCTCTTTTTTTCAAAACTCAATAAATTTGACTTGAGCATTTAATTTTAAGTACATTTTACCTCAAAAGAAAAATCTGTAAAAATAAAAAAATATATTGAACTCTGGTCAGTGATTGCATGGTGGATTTAAAGGAAAGTGTGCTGGTGTTCGCAGTTTACTC